GAACCGCCGATTAATTTTTTTTTTTTTTTTATAAGTTGTAATGTGTCAAAACTTCGACACGACATAACTTTTGACTCGGTTATCCGTTTTGGACAAATGTTTTTTTTGAAATCGCGTATTTTTTCGAGATCTATCCACCGCAAACTGCCATAGGCAGTTTGGCCCACCAATTTCTAAAAAAAAATACTTTAAATAGTTTCTAAGAAAAAACTATGAGAACATTATATTTTATTAATGAATTTTTAAAATTTTTTATTAAAAAATTATCCCGTGCATTATTTAATAATCTTTCTTTATAATTGGTCAAATTATTTAATTATGGTAAATTAGGGAATAATTAATGATGGTAATAGAAATCTTAGAAGAATATAGAATTAAAGAATATGTAATTATTGTTATATTATTATTGTGACTCACGGAATACACTACAAGAATATTTAATTATGGTTATATTATTATTGTGTCTCACGGCCATTATATACTAGCAGAACTTGAAAAGAAACTAATAATAATATTAATATAATAATAATAATAATAATAATAATAATAATAATAATAATAATAATAATAATAATATAAGTGGTAATAATGGTACCCGGGTTATACTTCCATTTGGAAGGTTGTGAGTTCGGGCCTCAGTGGAGGCGTTATTGGTTCTTTGTGTTTCAGTAGGTTGAGAAAGTATATGAACAGATACTACATTGTAATAGAACCAGTAGCATTCAAAAAAAAAATATAAGTGTTAATAATAATTATAACTTAGAATAAATCATAATAATTAATAACTATAGTTTAAGATTAAATTTGAAAGATAAGCGACCTCTGGTGAAATTAACTTTTAAATAATTATATATCAATTTAAATATTCTTAATATATTACAATAATTCCATTCCGTGCATCGCACGGGTGAAAATACTAGTTTTTTTTAAAAAAAAAATAAAAAATAAATTTTAGAAAAATAAAAATACACATTAACAATTTCTCCTTCAACAGAAAAGTTGACAATTTTCTCTGTGCAACTGAACGAAGAAGCCAAATATGGTTGGCTTCTACGTCAGTTGGACGAAGTAGCAGCCATCCGGCTTCTCTATTCAATTGGACGTTGAAGCTAAACAGGCTTCTCTGCCCAAATGACGAAAAAGAGAAGACATGCCAACTTTTCAGTAAAAAAAAAATAATTCTTTTCTTTTTTAAAATTTTAATTAATTTATTAGAATTAAAAATATTTTTACGTTTTTTGTTTAAAAGTTTAAATTTTAATTACTTTTTTTAATTTAAAAAATAAATACATAAAAATGAAGAGTTGGAGTGCTTAATTAAAACTGTTTACAATTTAAAAGTTTAATTACTTTTTGGCCAATAGTTAAAGGATTTGTTTGACTATTTTCTTGCCATTTGTTTGACTATTTTCTTTCCATTTTTATAGGGTTCAGGCCACCTTTTGGCGAAATTTCCCGCAAAAAAAGTGACCGACGAAATTTTCGGTAAATTTAGGTTGGTTGCTGGTCACTTTTTTTTGTCAAAAAAATCGCCAGAAGGTGGCCTGAACCCTAATGACCTGTGATAGCAGGTCATTACCTTATTTTTGGGCTTCATTGCACCTAAATGAATTGCAATAGTTATGCTGTGCAACCGAGTGCACCATGCGCATGGTGCATACGATGCAAAACGACGTCGTTTTGACTAAAAACGTGCGTCCCACTTAAAAAAAAAAATCAAGTTCAATTCTCGGCAATAGCATTATTGTGGATATATAGTTATGAATTTCTGGATATATAGTTATGAATTTCTAAATATATAGTTATGAATTTATGGATATATAAAAATGCTATTGCCGAGAATCGAATCTGATTTCTTTTTTAAGTGGGACACGCGTTTTTTAATCAAAACGACGTCGTTTTGCATCGAATGCACCATGCGCATGGTGCATTCGGTTGCACATCATAATTTGCGAATGAATTGTTGATGAGTGTAATTGCACCTTTAAAAAGTTTAGGGGCCTAATTGACTTTTAAGTTAAAGTTTGAGAGCCTATTTGACCCTTTTCCCGAACTTTTTATAATTTAAGAGTTTTTATTTTAGTACTACTGACTCTGTTATTCTTAACCTACTGAAGTATAAAGAGTCAATATCACTTTCACTAAGACTTAAACCCATGACCTCCCATATAATTTAAGAATTTAATTACTTTTTTGGTTTATAATTAAAGTGATTTTTTGACTATTTTTTGCCAAGATAAAAATAGGAAAAATGACACTTTTTCTCTCAGAGTTATATATTTATTGCACTTTTTTCTCCTAAATTATTTAGATAAGCACATTAGTCCCCTCAATTTTCTAAAAGTGTTGTTTTTCCTCCTGCTATATTAAATTGACATTTCTACCCTTAAAGTAAATATTTTATTTATTTTACTTCTCCAACAAATTATTGCGTATACGTAGGGATGACCACGGATCGGTTCGAACTGAACCGGACACTATAACAATCGAATTAAAAGTTTCTGGTTATGATTCAGATCTAGAACCCAATATTTAGATTTCAATTTATTAAAATTATGAATTAAAAAATTAGATCCTAAACCGTGAACCGGCGGTTCTGGATCCGGCTCGCGATTTTGAGCCCTTTTTATTTTAAAATTTTATTTGTTATTTTAAAATAGTCTAAATTCAACAATAAATGTATTTTATTTTTTCAGTTCGGAATATGAACTGGCCGTTCCGGTTCGCGATTTTAATAAACTCTAAATATCGGATTTTGATTCTAAATTGTAATTGGAATATTTCGATATGGTTGCTATAGTGTTTGTTTGGTTTGAACCAAATTATGGTCATAATTTGTTGGGAAAGAAAAATTAAAATATTTATTTTAAAGGTAAATATATCCATTTAACATTTTAAGGGAAAAAACAGTCACTTAAACAATTTAGAAGGAAAAAATGCTAAGCATCACCATCAATGCATATTGTGGGGAGAATAGTACAGAATCTGATGACTTGGAAGAGAAAGGGGGTAGGAGAGAGAAATTTGAGACCCTCCTGCAAGTGTGGGGAGAATGTCAGAAAGTGGGACCCATGCCTTCAATGGTTCCACTCTCTCACGCACAGCGTGAGGCCTAAAAAAGCCGCCCAGTGGGCGCGCCGCGCCTGATAGCCATTAAAATATTATTATTATTATTTTAAAATTCAATTTTTTTTTCTCTCCCCTCCCATCTTCTCTTTCTTACTCACTCTTACATTCTCCCACATTATCCCCAACTGATGTGGATGCTCTAAGTATATAATTCAGGGGAAAAAAGTGTCACTTTCCCATAAAAATATTATGTAATCAGTACCAAACTTTTGTGTAGTTAATTTAAAAAAAAAAACTTCTTCCAAAGATGGAGAAAAAAACTTGAAAGATGGAGTTTAATATGTAGCCTGCAGCCACGTGCTAGATTGCTTGGGCGGGGCCAATCTATCCATTTTTCTTCTCCCAAATCTATCCATTTTTCTGTGGATATGATATGATTGGACTTCAATACCTAACTACCTAGCAACGTAGGAAGAAATAGACAACCATACTCTAATCCCCATTGGAAATTATAAGGCCTAATCCACTCATTCTAATATAGATATAAATAAATAAATAAATAAATAAAATAAATATTAAATAAAAATATATCCATGAGACAGATCAAGTTAGGATGTGAATGTAATACTTATACTAAATATAAAATATAATACTAATTAAGAATAAAATGTTTGTTACTTATGGAAAAATGTAATATTTTAAAGAAAAATATAATACTCCGTAATACTTTTAAATCAAAAAGTAAAAGTATTACATTTTTCTTTTTAAAAAAATACAAATATTACATTTTCATTTATAAGTAGCAAACAATTTATTTTGTGATTAGTAATACAATTTCATCTTGACCCGACTTATCTTACGGACAAGGATCTGTGAGACAGTCTTATACAAGTTTTTGTCATAAAATCTAAATTTACCTTTCATCTTTTCAATTTTTCATTAACAGTACACCATTAAATATAAAAATAGTTAAATTATAATTGAAATTAAAATTGCACTAATGTAATTAGTTGCATTGATCACTTATACATTTTGTTTTTTTTTGAAGGTCAATCTTGCTATTGTATTAATGAATCAAAGTCGAAATAGCGTCAGGTGGGATAGCATCCCAGTACATAGCTTGATCCTGTGTAAAAGCTAACGAAGCTAAAGTATGCGCATGTAAATTAACCTGTCTAGAGATGTAATCCAAAGTAATACGATTAAATAAAGACATAAGTGTTCTGCATTGGTCAATTGTGACCCCAACGTACGAATGGATCGGCGTGTGTTGGTGCCGGATAATCGTAGTCAATTCCATGTAATCCGTGAGTAAACTTACTGATGTGTTGTTCCGTTCAAGTAACCAGGACAGTGCTTCCTTGTATGCCTGGGCCTCCGCCATAAGTGGTGAAAAACAAATCGGTAATTTGCCATTCCTTGCTGCCACAAAAGAGCCATCTGGCTCTATAATCAACATGCCGTACGTAGCCTCGCCTGTGTCGTGTCGATAACCCGCGTCCACATAACACCGTAGACCGCCCTCCCTTGGTTCGGTTAAATGCTCCAAAGCCGCTGCCGGCTCGGTACGGCTGGCCTGGGCAGCGCCGTATGCCTGTAGCGCTACAGTTGCTGCTCTGGCTAACTGGACAGGCCGCGTCATTGATCCCTTCCAGACAGCTAAATTCCGGGCTCTCCAGATATAATATAATATTGCTACCATCAACCGGGTCTGCTCCTCCGTCAAGACCGCCATAACCCCTTTTAATCATGTTGTAAAAGAGTCTGCAATAATATTAGTGATACGCAATTGTCTTATATTCCATACAAGTCTAGAATATTCACAGAGCGCTAAAACTTGTAACACATCTTCATGATCTAAACCACACATTGGGCATGTTGGGTCCACCTCCACCCTTTTAAATATCAAGTTAATGGTTGTTGGCAAAATGTCACATATGACTCTCCACAAGAAAGTTTTCCATTTGGGGGACTTTTACTTTCCACATTGTAATCCATTTATTGAAAATCGCGGGATTATTTTCGTAGTCACCCACAATACGCCTATAGGCATTCTTGACTGTATATGTCCCCTTTGGGTCACTCATCCAATACCATGAGTCTTCGTAATCAGGACTAATAGGGATCATATTTATTCGCTCCACATCCTCAGGAATAAACAAGTCAGATAAAATATGTGGATCCCAGGTATGAGTCTGTAAATCAATTAATCCTGCAACCCGTGCCTCCCACAATTGTTCTGGCATTTCTGTTTGAATCAATGGGTTAGGATTATCTCTTAACCACGGATGTCCCCATATTAAAGTTGTCTGTCCATTCCTAATCCTCATTCGCACCCCTGAGACTACCATTGCATGGGCTGCCATTATACTTCTCCAACAGTAACTTGGGCAATTGTCAATAGTTGCATATGTAAAACTGGTTGTGGGATAATACCTTGCCTTATAGATTTTAGCTGTGAGTGTTCCTGGGTCCGTCAAAAAACACCATGCCTGTTTTCCCAGCATAGCTAGATTAAAAGCCCTTAGCTGTTTAAAACCCATACCACCATACTTTTTTGGTATGCACAACTTGTCCCAAGCCTTCCAATGTATTCCCCTGTCTCTTCCATTCCCCAACCAATACTTATTCATAGTTCGCTCAATTGACTGACAAACTGTCTCAGGTAACAAAAAGACGCTCATTGAATAGGTAGGCATAGATTGCGCTACACTTTTCAACAATACTTCCTTACCAGCCTGAGAAAGTAACTTTTTACTCCACGAACCAATTCGTTGCCTGATCCTCTCCTCCACATATGAAAAAACAGCTCTCTTATTTCTCCCCACAAAGGAAGGTAGGCCCAAATATTTCTCAAAATTGGATGCTTGCACCACCCCCAGACAATCCGCTACCTGTGCCCTGTCATTCTCCTGGGTATTTCTGCTAAAACATATATTAGATTTATTATAATTCACCAATTGGCCTGACAATTTCTCATACCTTGCAAGGCACTGCCTTATAACTCCCGCCTCCTGGATATTTGCTTTAAAAAATAGGAGACTATCATCCGCAAAAAATAAGTGTGATACAGGCGGTGCCCCCCTTGCTACTCTGCATCTATGTATAGAGTCTGCCAACTGTTCATACTGTAATATCATCGAGAGAGCCTCTGCACAAATAATAAATAGATACGGAGAGAGAGGGTCTCCCTGCCTGAGTCCCCTGGTTGGTTTTACACGCCTCCTGCTATACCATTGACCATTACAGTATAACTAACAGTCGTTACACACAGCATAATGAGCTTTATCCACTTCTCACTAAAACCCATACAGTCAGCATCCTTTCTAGAAAGTTCCACTCCATTCTGTCATAGGCCTTTGACATATCTAGCTTCAATGCACTCCAACCCACTACACCACACTGCTTTCTATTCAGATAATGCCCCACCTCTGCCGCTACCAAGATGTTGTCAGTGATTAGCCTTCCCGGGATAAAAGCACTCTGGGATTCTGATATTAATCCTCCCATTAGTGTTTTCATCCTATTTGCTATCATCTTGGCAATAACTCTGTAAATGACATTACTCAACGCAATCGACCTCAAATCTGCAACTGTCTCAGGCATCTCTTTCTTAGGGATCAAAACAATGTTAGTATCATTTAATCCCTCGGGGAATACACAGGAATTCAACGCATTCGTTATAAAGCCAGATACATCTCTTCCCACTATCTCCCAAAACTGCTGGTAGAAACCCGGGTTTAACCCATCCGGACCCGGTGCCTTATCCGGATACATTGAAAAAAGAGCCTCTTTAACCTCATCAGTTTCAAAAGGACGGTCTAGCATCATACTCTGTTCTAACGTGACTCGTGGGGTTAGGACCCCAAATAGCGGATCATCACAGCTCAATCCATTAGAGGCAAAAATATTGTCAAAGTAATTCAGTATAGTGGAATGCATATCATCCCCCTCCACCCAGTTACCAGCATCACATTTAATACTAGAAATAAAGTTCTTTTTCCTACGTGCAGAGGCATACCTGTGATAGAATTTTGTGTTTGCGTCAGCCCCGCGTAGCCAGTGCTGCTTGGCTCGCTGCCTCCAGAACACATCCTCCTGGGCCTCTATTCGTTTCAGGGAATTCTCAATCTGCTGGTACTCAGCTAGCGCCACCAAATCTCGCCTATTCCGTATGGCATCTTGCCTCTGCTGTAGCTGGTTAATTCGTTTTCCGAATTATACATTTTGTTTGATTCCAATTACTTTTACAAATACTTCATAGTTTTACTCTTCTCTTCTTAATTTTTCTTATAACATTTTTAATAATAAAGATTTGTTAATTTTTTTTTCTTCTAATGGGTTAGTTTTGTTGAAGTTTATTTTCTAATTGATGTTTTTAATTAATTTTTTTGGTCTTAGTATGTATGTATGTATGTATGTATGTATGTATGTATGTGTGTGTATATATATATATATATATATATATATATATATTTATATATATATAACTTTTAATTCACATCGTATGATTGTTAAAAAAATAATTTTTTTTAAAAACATTCTTGGAAAAAATTTATTCTACAACTACAAATAATCATTTGATAGTGTAAAATGTTGAATATTTAATGTGATTGATAAGACTCAAATTACTTAATGTATTAACTATTTTATTAGAATAAAATATAATCAACTTTCTCAACCTACTGAAGGTACAGAAAGTTAGAGTTCAATTTGATACTATTGAGCCACAAAGTTCTTGGTTATTTTAAGTTATTTTGATTAGGTAGTTTTGCGTTTTCAAAAACTAGTAGCCCTATAAAAGGGTGAATTTCAATCAAAATAATGACATTCTAGAAGAAATTTAATTGACTTAAGAAATCAATGACCAAGAATAAAAATATCTCTATATAACTGATAAACTAACATCACGTTTAGTTCATGGAATAAATTTTGAGGTAATAGGAGTGCTATTCCATAAGAAATGGAATAGACAAGGAATAGAATAGGAATTGTATTCTATTGTTTGGTTCGCGGAAGGAACATACTACTTTAGGATTATATTACAGTGTTTGGTTGATTTAAGGAATAGAAATGAAATATGTTTTAAAAGACATAAATACCCTTATAAAAATATGTGATGGTGGTTGTGGTAGTGGTAGTGGTGTTAGTGGCGGCGGTAGTGGTGGTGATGGTGGTGGCGATGACGGTGGTGGGGTGGTGGTGTTGCTGGTGGCGGCGGCGGCGGTGGTTGTGGCGGTGGTGCTGGTGAGGTGGTTGTGGTGGTGGCGGCGGCGGCGGTGCTAGTGGTGGTAGCGGTGACGGCGGCGGTGATGGTGGCAGTGGTGAAATAGGAAATAAATTTAATTGGGGGGTAAAATAAGAAATAGAAACTTTAGGCTATTCCTGAGAACTCAGGAATAGGCTAATACCAGGGGTCCCAGGAATCTCTATTCCCCTTGCAAGGGGAATAGGTCATTCCCGGGAACAACGTTCCTGGGAATACAAGTGGTTACCAAACAGAGGAATATGCATATTACTGGAAATGCTATGTCATTCCAGGCATATTCTGTGAACCAGACAACCCATAAAAGTAATATTATTTCACACTCTTCACTATAATTACATTGATGAGTTAATGACATCTGAAGTTCTCCGAGTATAGTAGTCCTGTCACGTTTAATCCTAAATTTTTAAGTTAATCACATGTGGTCCTTAAATTTTCAAATTTTAAACTAATGTCCTTCAATTTTTAAGTTAACTACCTGTTGTGTTTCAACTTTTAAATTTTAACCAATTGTGGTCCTTTAATTTTAGAAGGACCACGATTAATTAAAATTTGAAAGTTAAATGACTTTGATTAAAATTTAAAAGTTAAGGTTAACTTGAAAATTTAAGACTAAACCTGATAAAATCAGTCTACTTGGAGTATTTCAAATGACATTAAATCTTGATTATCAAAATTAAACACGCTGAAGAACTACCCATTCAATCAATTATGTAATGTTTGGCATTTTAGTGAAGACTAAAGAGGAAAAGTGCATAGATAGATGAGAACAAGTACGAAAACTGAAGAGGAAAAGTACATATATAGCTTTGAGCACTTTTTGCTCCTTCCATCACTCGAAGCTTGTTTGCATAGCCACAGTGATCAAGAAAGCAAATTTATTGATCAAGACCAGAACACATACCAAAATACACAAACGGATTAAGATTACAGTACGTATAGGGTATATATAGCAAAGAAGAATATAATAGTAGTAGATGCATGCATGCATCCATGCAAATTTAGTTAATTATGGAAGTGATGATAATGTGGGCAGATTGTTAAATCTGCCCGCCGGAGTCACGGTGATCTGACCCATATTTCTGGAAATACGAATCGGAGCTCCCACCAGGGATGTTGTAGTCGCCGGAAAACTACCGAGGCAGATTCTTGGCGGGGCTAGAAGCGCGCACGAGCTCGCCGAGATGAAAAGTCCGGGGAGGAAGCCAATATTGGTGGAAGAACCGGTGATTGTTCCGGCGGCTGTGGTGGTGGCTTCCACCGCGGTAACCACTCCGGTAGATGGTAATGAGCATACCAATGAAACCGGGACGCCGGGCGCGGCGGGTGTTCCTGTTAGGTCGCAAACAAGGGCGCCGTTCAAGTTTACTGTGAATGGTTTGCCAAAGAAAAAGGCTGATGATGGCGTTGTTGTTGCCAAGATAGCAACGCATAGGAACATGGAGAAGGTTGTATAGGAAGAAGCCATTGTAATATTGTCTTTGAAGGCTAGGGTTGGTTGATTATTTGTGTTGTGTGTCCTCAACTGTTGGAACTAAGTCCTATTTATAGAGGGGTTCTGGTCATAGATACTTTCTCAACCTACTGAAGCACAAAGAGTCACTTAATTGAGAAAATGTGAAACTGAATGTATATACAAATCACAAAGGGGATGAAAGTCCCATTTTTTGAATCATATTCTTGAATTTAATTGAAGGCATGCATTTAGTCAATGGATCTGCTAACATCAACTCAGTATGAATGTGTTCAATGAATACAACTCTATTTTTGACACGCTCCCTAATTGTTAAGAACTTGATGTTAATGTGCTTAATTCGACTCCCATTTTTGGCGCCAGGAAAACTGCAACTGAGTTGTCACAGTAGACTTTCAATGACGACTTTCAATGACTTCACTCTCATACTGGAGTTTAAACCTAAAACCTCTCATTTGAGGGTCACAGCTATACCACTCAACCATAAGGCCAGGTCTTTTGCAGGAAAATGTGCTTTTAATTAATCTCTCAATGCACTTTTAGTTGTTTTAGTCCATATATTGGTCAAATTATTTCCAGATTCATGTACTATAGTATTGAATGATGCAATTGAATAAACAACTCAAGATACGTTATAAGCAAATTCGAATCATTCTTTGTTTTTCTTCTTGAATCCATGATTATTTAAGGGTTTTCCTTGTCTGAATTCGAAGCTGAGAAAGAAGAAAGAGTGGAAGCAAAGGGTTTCTCGCGCGGTCATAATCGTCTATGATCTCTAAATGTCTTTTCGTTTCTTATATCTCAGTAGAATTAGTAATATCATATTAGTTATCTTTTACAACTACATAGCATGATTAATGTGTTGTTTGGTGGTAGAGAGCCATTTATATTAATAAGCGATCGATTAAGGGTTTGAATCCAACTTTTAATTTTTGAACCATTTAATAATTATAATTATATTATTTTATGTCACCTCACCAAATCTGACATGGTAATGAGACTTAACCGAAAAAATAAATAGTGTTAAGTATTGTCCTTGATTATTCTAAATCTTAATTATATTAAATTGAACAAAATTTAGGTAAAGAGTCTAAATTGAACAACATGTATACTATAATAAAGGGACCTGACAGGTACTTTGACACCATATCGATGTATTGCATAATTCACTTATAGTCCTAGTTTCATTCATGGGATTAAAGCTTGATCAAAAACCTTCTTTATAAAAAGTAATAGTGATGTCATGAAACTACAATATAATGTACGAGTACATTTTAATTTGTATATTTAAAAGATTAGAAATAAAATAACTAAAGTTACATAATTAAAAGATTAAAAATATACTTTTTCCATTTAATTATTTATTACCTTAATGAAGCTTTTAATGTGTTGCTCAAGTTGCATTTTGTGCAAGTGTTTCGTGACATTAATTAATATTTACTATACTATGGTCCCCAAGAGGAGAAATCAACTCTTCTCATAAATCCCTATATATAAAATTAATTCTTCTCTTGAATTGGAACTTTCTCGCATTGACAAATTGTGGCTGGAGTTAAGTCAACCTATTACTCTATTAGGACTAAATATAATATCTTGATAATGTTTACATGCTATTACGTAGGAGCAGAGTTTGCTTAGTGCAAACCTTTATTAGATAGTAATTGTGAATTTTCTTCGTCCCACAAAAAGAAATTAAAATGTAAATATCATATTATGATGATGCTAGACTCGGCTCTCTAACATGCTTTCATATCAATTGTTAGTATCAAGCACTTACAACTACACCAATAATTATATCTAGTAGCGAAGGCAAAACTTTATTTCATTATACGCAGGATATTAGACTCGACTTTTCAAATTGTCGCCTAACAAGTAGAGACTTTTGAGTTAGGATCCAATCTCATAATATTGTGACATAGAATGAAGATGTATATCTTCTTCATGAACTCCCATAATATATTAGTCAAGTCATACGAGTATAGAAGAAAATGTCTTCTAAAGAAACAATGAGAAAATCTTGTAATTTTTATTTTTTATTTTTTTTTCAAAGAGTGGCCGGTTATATTAGACACCTTCACACCACTGCCAAGAAAGATACATCAACATCCTGGCAAAGATGAAGAAAGTTATATTGGGTGGTTGAACTTTTAAGAAAAAGTAGTTAACTTGCATTGTGCTAAAAAAGTAGGGATAAAGATTATTTTACAAATAAACCAGCACATAATCTGAAGGGGAAATCACCATTTTGGTCCCTTAATTGTTTTTCAACTGTCAATGTAGTTTTTAATTTTCAATTCAACCAATTTGATCCTTAAATTGTATAAAATTTTGTCAATAAAACATTTTCAGGGACCAAATTGACGAAATTAAAAAAATGTGAAAATCACCATTTTGGTCACTGGAAGGGTTCAATTAACAAAATTTTAAACAATTCAAGAATTAAATTGGTTGAAATTGAAAACTAAGTACTGCATTGACATTTGGAAAACAATCGATGGACCAGAAGAATGGTGATTAACTCTAATATGGAAATGCTTTATTCCCCTCCTAAATTTCCCCTTCAATAATATAATTTACCTCTTTGAGGTGGCTTTTATTTATTGTATGCCTATGAATGTGTTGTCCTACCACTAATTATAACAATAGTTATTGCGTTGACCGTGGTCCACACAGTTGTGTGAATCACGGTCCAAAAAGGACATCGTTTTGTTCAATTTAATTTATTTTTTCGCACATCCAGCTGTCCATGCAACATACGTTTTTATAACTCATAATGTACATTAATATAAAACATAATGTACATTGTTCCTAAAGCATAATGTACATTATTTTAAAACATAATGTACATTATTTTAAAACATAATGTACATTATATTACTTCAGATGTTTCATTATTGTAACACGTAATGTATATTATTTTAACACATAAATACATAATGTACATTATTCTAACACATAATATACATTATTCTAACACGTAATGTACATTATTGTAACACATAATATACATTACTTTTACTCATAATATTCACGACAATGTTTTGGACCGTAGCCCACACAATAATTTGCCTAATTATTAAGAGAACTTATTATTAATTAGATACAGACACATCATGAGTGACGAACTAGAGGAAAAATAAGAGGGGTATATAACATTACTAATTTGTAAAATAGTTACTAAACAAAACTATTGACCTATGAATGAGCACCAAGTAACAAATTAAATTAATAAAATTTTTGAATATGGAGATAAAAAATATACTTTATCCAAGTATAAATAGAGTGTTTAAAAGCTTAGAGAGGTTGAAGGATAGTTATGCTGTGCATCCGTATGCACCATGCACGGTACATGCGGATGCAAAAACGACGTCGTTTTATTAAAAACGCGCATCTCTCCTTAAAAAAAAAAAAAATTCATGTTCGACTCCTAGCAACAACATTATGTTCATTCTGGAATTTTAGTTTATAGATTATGGAATTTTAGTTCATTGATTCTGGAATTTTAGTTTATAGATTATGGAATTTTAGTTCATTGATTATGGAATTATAGTTCATCGATTCTGGAATTGTAGTTCATCGATTCTGAAATTTTTGTTCATAGATTCTGGAATTTTAGTTCATTCATTTTGAAATTTTTAGTTCATAGATTAGATTATGGAATTATAGTTCATCGATTATGGAATTATAGTTCATCGATTATGGAATTATAGTTCATCGATTCTGAAATTTTAATTCATATGTTGTTGCTGGGAATCGAACCTGAATTTTTTTTTTAAGGAGAGACGCGCGTTTTTAATAAAACGACGTTGTTTTTGCATCCGTATGCACTATACAGATTCACAGCATAATTTGCCGAGGTTGACAATGATATGAAACCAAAAACGATCTTGACAATCAACAAGCAATCAGTTAAGCTCTAATATAGCAAAGCCCAAAATCCTTTTAAGTCTAGAGGGCAGGGGTGGGAGAGGTGGGTGGGTGAGCCGGGAACGGTGAATATCAACTATAAAGTTGTGGAACAATGCAACCATCCAGTTTATCGAAAACCTTTTAGGGTTGATTAAGTGAGTTAATTTCTCAACAATACCTTTTAGGGGGTGTTCGGTTCACAGAATGTTATATTACTTTAGGAAAAGATTGTTGAAAATGTTAGATTATTGAAAATATTAGATTATTAGGAATAATAGATTCTTATGTTTGGTTTAAAACTGATGTATGTAATATAAATTTGTTTGGTTGGAGAGTTATATGTTTTTTTTTTTTTTTTTTTTTTTTGCTTTAATTTATGTTAGGATGTTTATTTTACTTGGATACTGTTAACTTATTTTTATGTATTTTAATAAATTTTAAAATTAAAATAAATAATGCAATGGTAAAATATAGAAGTAAATGATTTTAAAATAATTAAAAAAAAAACTTGAACAATAATTAACTAAGACAATGTATTAAAATGATAAAATTAATAATAAGACAAGGGAATATAAGAATATCTAAAGTTAGGTTGAAATGTTATTAACTGGATTGTCAAAAATACTTTGTGATTTGGTAGCGGAAATTAAAGTACCAAATAATAAGGAATACGATTTCTTGCGCACAGGTTTCAC